TATCGATTAAACCTCTCATGTTAAAAAGAGGCATTTTTTATTGGCACAACAAAAATGCTTTTTCAATTGTTGTATAATTCAAAGCCAAATTATATTTATTCTATTTATTCACGTTTTAAACGGTGCTAAAGTTGCATATTCATGGCCATAATTGATTGAACGCAATTAGCGCAAAAACTTATAGCAATCTAATATCAATGTAATACAACGAATAATTTTCCGTGAATTCACAGTGATGCGTATACCTCATATTTCTTTTTCAAAATAAATAGAGTGAATTTTTTGTGTACTGAAATATGTAAATGAACAGCAAAAATGTCGCGCGGAAAATTCAGTGTTGTAAAAATTTTATTTTTCACAATTTACTTATTTTTTTTAATAATTTACTTTCACCAGTGAAGAAAAGAAAAAGAAAAAGTTAAAATAATTTGTTATGTTATTATTTATAAAATTTTCAAAATAAATAGTTTAATTGTTGTTAAAAATGATTTGATTAAATGATAAAATTTTATTAACATTATAAAATTAAATGTTAAAAATGATATTTTCATTTCAATATCTAACAATCTTCACCTACAAAAAATGATTTTATTTAAAAAAATTTTAAGTTTACGTTAATTATGCTGTTTTACAAGACAAGGTTTTGACAAAATTATGAGTTCATATTTTCTAACGCTTTTAAAGCCAACTACGAGGGAAAATATATTTCCACAGCTGTACTTGAAAAAAGCGTTTTTTTTTATAACAAATTTCCAAAGTTTTAGGGATTTGCTTATATATTTTATAGAAGTTATGTACATTATGTAATTATGTATTCCTCCAAATGTTAATTTTCGAGTAGAAAAATTGTATTCAATTTTAATAAACTTATCGACAATGTAAATGATCGACAAAAATTAAATGAAAAATGAATACAATTAATAAAAATATTATTTTTATGGTATTATTCAGTCATATTATTTTCTTAAACGGCATATATTTTTCATATTTTTGCTAATCTATAAATATAAATCATTATATAAGCGTTTAAACGTTTCTTGTGCGATGCGTAATATTTTAGTTTCTTAAGTCTAAAACTTTGCTTAAGTATTGAAATGTTTTAAATTTTTTAAATCAAAAATAGTTTACCGCTGATGATTGGATTAAAAAAATTTTCATAATATATTATAACATTTTATTATTCAATTTAAAAGTTGACTCAATTGGCAGCAGCACGTTCTATAATCTTAAAAAAAAGTATCAAGGAAAGTTTATGTAAGAAATTTATTTTTGACCGTTAGAAGGAAGTAATTTCCAAATTCTAAGTTGATTTACAAATAAATAAATAATAATAATAGAAATTTGTTAATTAAATTATCTGCCTCTCATATTAAAGCGCTGCATTATATCGCTCGTATATTTTTACTGAAACCGCTGTATTTTGACGAATTATTTATAAAACAGTCTGAAACTTGATATATAAGTTCTATTATTTTGATAAATAACTTCCTCACTGAAAGTTTTTTAGCGCTTGAATTTCTCTCAATATTTTTTACTTCAGAAGGACCAGCCGGTATTAAATAGTACAAATCGAACTTTTTTTTTGTTAGCGTATAAAAATCGTCCTAATTAAGATATCGTCACGAAACTTTTTTCATCTTAAAAAACTCTGTATGATCTTTCATTTCCTTGTTTATGAGTTTCAAAATCTTATTAAACGGTTATAGAAAGTTCCTTTAATCGTAACATCTTATTTTTTTTTTAAATTGACTTTACCACACCTTTCTAAACATTAGAGTAAACTGGAATCATTTTGGAAGGACTCGTTGTCTTTGTTAGGATCTGTTTTTCATATTTTTCGATCGTTTTTCGATGTTTATTAGAAAATTTATAATTAAAACAATTAAAAACAATTTATAATTTCGGGGACACTAATTGAAAAACATAAAAAAATTATTTTTTTGAAAATCGGCTCAGTTCATTCCATAGTACAGATCTTAATAAAAACAATGAGCCCTTTCAAAGTGATTTCGTTGATTTTGATGTTGCGTCAATTAAAAAAAAGAAGATGTTACGATTCAGGGAACTTTTTAGAGTCTCTAATTAAAATTTTAGGACTCATGAGCAAGAAAATGAAAGCTAATATTGAGTTCTTCTAAATGAAAAAATTTTCGTAACGATACCTGTATTAGGACGATTTTCATGTGACAGCAAAGAAAACTTTAAATATTCAGTATTTAACACCGGCTGATCTCTTTAATAGAACGTGATGGTCTTGTTTTAAAATGAAATAATAAAAATACTGTTTTAAATATAAGCAAAACATTTTCTTGTTACTTAACAGATTGACACGCTTAATAGCTATATTATATGATTGTGCCATACGTACAGAAATCGAAAAGTTCATTCTTAAATTGCAAAGGCAAAAATCTAGTATTTGAGATAAAAGAGTATATTTGTAATGTATGTTTGTAATAGTATGTGTTTTCTCAAATAGTAAGTTTTAAAGAAGTTGATAAGCAGCGACGTATTCAAACTTTCCACTCGGCGCCTCTAGCTACCTTCCTTGCTCTCTTTCATTTCTTATTATAATGAATGCATATCGGCTTAACCGAAAGTGTAGAGCGAGGGATAGAAACCCTTTTCGCTTACTGCGCTTACAAGTCTTCTAGACTTATATCCGGAAAGTAAAGAAGAACGCAAAATGCTAAGAAATAAGAAATAGGATGAATTATAGCTGCGAAAAGTACGTTGGTGGATTTTCGAAGTTTCAAATATTTCATCGGTAGCCTATATTGCTGTTGTTATTATTGTTATTATTACATTAATAACTATGTTCAGGTAAAATTTTAACTCACACTTGATCGATTTCTATTATACTTTTACTTATTTTGTTGTGGTTAAATGATTAATATATTTATGGTTTTTCTAAGATTAAATTTAGGCTAATTTTTCAAGTGAAAATAGATTTTGGTTACTACTTAAGGATATAATTTATATTCTACATTGATCATTGTTGAACTTCATAAAAAAAATATTTAAGGTATTTACATAAAGACCAACATTTTCAGATTGATATTGGCAACTTATTATATAGTAAATTTATTATTTCCTATTGCTCCAATTTGCTAAAACTAGAGTTTCTGATTTAAAACACAATAGATCAGAGATTTAAGTGAAAGTTTTTCTTTATATAAGAGACAAGAGGGAGGGTCTTAGCTAATAGGGGTCAAATGGTTCATGCAACTAGAAATAGTTTGTTAATAGACTCACCTATATTTTGAAAACAGCAACGCATTCTTTATTTTATAAAAAATACATAGGTTTCTTTTCAGATTTGACAAATATTTGATAGAACTCAAGATATTCTAATTGTGGTATGACAGCTTATATATTACGCATTTAACGTTCGCATTTGGGCTCTATGTCGTTTTGTTATCTAAATCGTAATATTTCGAGCCTTATGCCATTTTTTTCAAATCTGAAAAATATCACTTTTTCATTACGTGATACCAGATACATGCCAAGTTTTTAAATATCACTGAGATCATAAATATATTTTTTATGATTATTTGAGCAATTGAATTGTTAATAACTAATTAATGGTACGTTTGTCGATAAGTTATCTGAAAAAACCGTGTTCGGCAGATCAAAATACATAAGTAGCATGTAGGTGGCTTAATATAAAGTTGATAGATTATTTATTATTAACAAATCTATTGTTTAATCTGCGATTAACATTTTGTTAATAAAGTTATTTCTTATTTAATGGCAAACGTTTCTGTGAATGCTTTCTGAAAATTTGGAAAATGTTGAGTAGATTTCGAGGTATTAAATTTTTATTTCTATAATTGTATGACTCGCAAACTGCTGATGATATTAAATAATATAATTATTATATTTTGCCTAGCGACTCATTTATTTTCTATGAAATTTCGCTTGATAACATGTGGTCATTGTAATAACACGAATTTTTACGATAGCTTACCGTGAAATGCACGCATAAATAGCTATTAACCTAACAAATTAATTGTTTAAGTGATCGTAAAAGCTTATTTATGATCTCAGCAATATTTTTAAATATGCCATGCACTCGTTCACTTACAATGAAGAGTACCATTTTTTAGATTTGTAAAATATTGCATAGAATCCGAGATATTATAATTTAGTTCATAAAACGGCATAAGCAGTGAGATCTCAAATGTTTCATCGAGCGTATAATGCAGCTGTCAAACATTTTTCCAGTCTAAAGAAAACTTTTATTATTTATGCAATAAAGAATGTGTGACCTTTCAGAATACAGGTAAACTATTTATAGTCGTTTAAACATTTAAATTGTTGATAACTAACTACCTGTTAACTTTTCGACCATGTCAGTCACCCTCGAAATTCGTATATTCAAAGCAAACCGGAAGACATGAAAATCTCTTGGGTTGACCATTTTACACCTACGACATCCCCCTTTAGCTTCAACGCTATTTGGGCTACAGTGTAAATAATAAAATTTCTATACTAAGAAATATTCAGACATTATCTTATTATCTGAATTCAAATTTACTTTTCAAACCTAAAGTGGTGAGACTGGTTCATATCAATTCATCAAACATCAATTTATATCAGCAGCTCAAAATAACCTACGTCTTATAGATAAGTTTCTGCTTCCGACACTGTTGTGGTTTTACTAATGTTTATTCAGAAAATTTATTCTTTTAAAGATCAATCCAATTTTTATGCTTTCTTTTGAGCGAGAATCATTTTTTTCCAATTTCCAAATCTACTTTACCATCTGCAGGGTAGAAAAAATCGTTATAAACCCATTTCCAATTACATATTCATTTCTCAATATTTATATTGTTGAATATAAATTGTAATTCTTTATCAGTTATGGTAGATATGTACGTGATCAGGTATATGCAGTATAATTTTATTGAAACAATCGCCAAACAATTAAGTTTTGATAATATAGATTTAATAATAGTGCACTAAAATTGTATTAACATTTATATAGTTTACAAACATTAAATTTGAAGAAATTACTATCGATATATCTGTATATACAGAAATCTTCTATCTGATTGTACTTGCACATGTTTTTACTTTTTATAAAATATATTTTTTAATTGTATTGCTGGGAAGAGCAGACATTCTTAGTCAAGCTTCAATCTGAACTTTTACTTGCTAAACTGTTCAAGCTGTAAAAATCGTTACAGATTTTCAAATAAACAATAATTCAAGATTTATAAATAGTATTGTAACAAAACATTTCTCTTAGACATCTTAATATATTTCTCATTTATTATTTTGTTTTCTCTACAGTCTTGGAACATATATTGGTTATTCTAGAGAGTTAAAGCTAGATCTTAATTTATATAACTTAATTTATATAAATTTATATAATTTATATAACTTAATTTATATAATTTATATAACCCATAGCACTAATCATAGTGCAAGTTATATCAGCTTCATCTTCTTATACTTTGAATGGAGGTAGATGAGTGAATTCAAAGTAGTCAATTTCGTGTTTTATTAATATATCAGATCTAACAATCATTAATTTTGAACATAATTTAACATTTTTAAAGTTATTTCTTATGTTATCATTTGAAATTGAATAAACACACTCAATAATTTCAAATTTAAGTATGATTAATTCATTATGAACCACAGGTACTGAAATACTCTTTGCCTTCACACTATTATATCGATCTCTTTGAATTTAACTAAATTATAATCAAAACATATTATATAATGTTTATAGTTCTTCTGTATAAATTTACATAGAATCTTCTTTATAAATCAGTAATGGTTTGTGTCCAAAATATTTGTTTTACAATTTCTGTCTCGTTTTGTTTCTAAAATAATTATGATCATTGGTTGAGTGGTAATACAGCAAACTGGAAAATAAACGTTTATGAATTCCTAGTAGAAAAGAAGAATGCTTATTAGACATACTTACATTATTATTAATTAATTTATGGTAGTAATTTATAAATTTTTTTTGGTTATTTCAATAACCAAATTTTTTTATGTTGGAGACTATCTATTTGACTATCACTTCCACTGTCTCCATCTAATAATATAACTTCTGAACTGCTTTCACGATCTTCTGTGATGATATCCTGCAAACTATAGTTCGAATTATACACAGTAAACTATAAATCTATATTCAGTTTTAGTTATAAATCATTTTTATATTATATTTTTATATTAAATTTAGTTATAAATAAGTTATAAGTTTTACATATATAAACACAGACACATGCACACATCACATAAAATGTCATCTACCTTAGTGTCATAATCTTCAAGTTGGACAGAGCTACCATCCTCTGAAAAAGTAATAATTTCAGAAGTAGTTTTAATATCTCTATTTCTAGCTCTTGTCTTCGTTTTTGTACCAAATTATCTGGATAGCTTAGATAATTGATAACTTCTCTCTTTATAATATCTCCTGAACAAAAATGTACCACTGAAATAAAACTTCAACACTTTACTAAGTTGTAAGTACTAGATTTATTAGATGATTATAAGCTTACCATTTTAATGGGATTTTTTGAGCCAAATCTTTTTGCAATTGATGATTCTCTTCCATGTCTCTGTGGATGTACTCATCTGTCACACAGCATTTCCAAGATTAATTTTATACCTACATGAAAATAATTAGTTAGAATTGTTTTAGAATGTAATAATTAAAAATATGGATAAAAATTTTTTCCTGTAAGTGAATGAGGTGTTCTATAGCTTTTCTATCTCTATCATCTTCTATCGAAATTAAATTTCAAGCCTACTATAATAAATTTGTTTTTATTTATAAATATTTTGTAATATGATTAATTTAAACACTTTATATTTCATGAACACTATCCGTTTTTAATACTATAATTTAAGATTGTCATATTTTTATCAGTAAATAAAGTAGTACCATTGTTCTAATTTCAAATAAACAATTATGGAGGTTATACCTTAATGCAGCATACATGAGGAAACTTTTGCTTCAGTTACATCTGATTCATATAACAAAGAGTTTTCTCTCTATTCGAAAATTTTTATTTTTAACAACGAACCGATACTATATTATGTTTACCAATATGGCATTATTACAAAATCAAAATAAACACTGAAACAAACTCAAACCAGGACATAGAACATAAACAAAAACAAATATATCGCGCTGGCATCGCTCATCATTGCTACTACATCGGTCCCTGGGCTATCGGCTGTTGCTGTTGCTGCTACAATATGTCTTACTGCTCCACCCAGGGCAAAGCGAGCAGTACATAAATGATCGTGTATATATATATGTAATACCCAGCACGTCGATAAATCGGTACAGAAGAAAGCTATGCAACACGCGGGAATTTAAAAGTTATGTGCGTATAATTTATGATTGAGTTTGAAAAGCGTAAAGAAAGTTTTAACCAAATAGGAGTATAGTAAAAATTTATGTCATAAATTGATGTCATTATTGATGTCATAAAAATTGGATACAACGATCAATCAGTACCCTAGCTCGCGTAAATGGCTTGAAGCAGCGTTAAACTACTTGCAATTCGATAAAATTACATAATTCTTTGCGAAAATAAATCAATTTGTTGGAAGACTCTAACACTGCTTTTAGCTAGTCTTAAAGTTAATTGATCTAGACGCTTGCAAGAATTGATAAATTAATAGAGTAGGTTGTCTGTTCGCTATCTAAAGAACAGAGAAGAAGAAAGACAAAATATTGATAAGAAACTATTAATTGCATTTTTATACTCGGCACTGACTTCTACAATAGAACTTTACGTGGGATTAAAAAAATATCGACAATTGAGTGAGTCTCCTATGAAAATTCTATATATTGTTATGGAACGAAGTATGCAAATTTATATTATTGTTGTGTTCGAAAGTTGCTCAGCAACGCAAAAACAATGATTATATTATTTGTCATAAATTTTGTTTTTAGTGACTGTCTAATTCCTTATGACCATAGCGACTGCAGCAACTAATTATAATCGTCTTAGTAAAGACGAAGAGAACATTGATTGGCTTGAAAGAGCTTGTAACTTATAAAAGCTTATCTTCATAATACAAATTTGCTTTTCAGTACACAAAGTTTATTTATTCTTCTTCATGGTACCGAAACCCGGCATCAATATACAATGCGGCTGCTAAATCAAAATCAATGAGCTTGAATGACTTGTTTTTACCAGGTCCACCAGGTTCGTTGCCACCACCACTCACTACTAGGTCGAGATTATTTAATATCATTACCAGGAGTTTTAGTATACATTAAATCTTTCTTTCTCTCTCATTAATAAATAAATTTATTAATTAACAACAATGTTGCATCTGTTAATTCATTCTGTAATGACCGAACAAAATTATTTTTTTTTTCAGTTTTTTTCTAAAATTATTTTTTGGATCTACAATTTACAATACTTTGAAATAAAAACCGTGAATGATTGATTAGCTAGCTTTCCGATGAAAAACTTGGCGATGTGATATGTATCATAACACAGGCCTGCAAAATAGAGAGTCATCACTGTTCTTTTACAACTTACGGTCATTTCCAAAGTAATTTTTGGCGTAGAATTAGAATCCGTCGTCAGAATTGCTTCATCACGTCAGGTTTTTGAGTAATCGTCCCCTAAAGGTCGAAAAAACACGTTTTTTGGCCATATTCAAGGCTTGATTACATCGTGAGTTTATATTCTTTTCAAAAACGGTTGACGGCATCTTAAAGAAGCACTCTTACCCTTCAAAACCCATTTTTCAAATTTAAGATATCATTTTTTTTCATCAAGATATCATCAATGGAAATTTGCCATTTTTGAGGTTTCACCATGAGCTTAAAAATTCGGCCAATTGTCCTGGAAGAATACGATATATTTCTTAGTTTTTTTTTTATAATGATTCTAGAATCATTTTTATATATCGTATTCTTCCAGGACAATTGGCCGAATTTTTAAGCTCATGGTGAAACTTTAAAAATGGCAAATTTCCATTGATGATATCTTGATGAAAAAAAATGATATCTTAAATTTGAAAAATGGGTTTTGAAGGGTAAGAGTGCTTCTTTAAGATGCCGTCAACCGTTTTTGAAAAGAATATAAACTCACGATGTAATCAAGCCTTGAATATGGCCAAAAAACGTGTTTTTTCGACCTTTAGGGGACGATTACTCAAAAACCTGACGTGATGGAGAAATTCTGATGACGGATTCGAATTCTACGCCAAAAATTACTTCGGAAATGACCCTCAGTTGCAAAAGAACAAAACCTTGCAGGCCTGTGTAATTGTTATACTTATAACCAAAAATAAACGAAATTGTTTGTCTCTCTCTCGCTTTCTCTTTCTCTCCCTCTGTCTCCTCGAATTTTCAATCATCTATAACTTACACACTGCTCTTGATACATTTTCACCTAGATTCTCAATTGTCATTATTTTGCATTCATCTTTAATTAACCAAATTAATATCCTCTTATGCTATATTAATTGTACTTTTCATTCTGCATAATACCTATCTTTGTTCATGTCCTAATGAATTATTTCATCAACAGATATATGCTCTGGTCTTGATGATCCCATTTCGTCCTGGAACTACTCAACATGTTTGGTACGGATAGCCAGTGATGTATTATACTCAGATGCTACGACAAATTACCTAGTACGTCTTTCGACTACCATTTGCTCTTAGTACATAAGATTCTCAATAGAATGAATACCCTATTAGAAATTTCCTCGTGAGATCCCACATGGGACCTATATAGTATTTCTTAAAGGAATTTCATCAAATTTATAATCTAAAATCCCATATGGGATTCCTAAAAAATGAGTTTTTTCTATGAAAACTAATATAGTATCCCACATTGGATTATTTAAAATTATTAAGCCTTTTGAATCCCATATAAGATCCTACATGGAATTAAAAAAAATGAATTATTCTCTGTGATCTCATATAGGATTTAAAAAAATATGCATTTATAAGCTTATTACATTTATATAAATATTCTGTTCAAATAAAAAAAAATTTCACCATGAAAATTTATGATTCTTTAAAAGTTTGTAGGAATATAAATATATTTTGAATAGTAAGTTCATTTAAAAAAAATTTTTTTTTATTAGTTATACAGGAGAATACTTTCATCTAAAAAATAGAAAAACAAAATAATAGAAACAATAATAAAAATAATACGCAAATAAACGTCTAACAATAAGCAGTAAAACAATAAAAATAAATATATAGATTTATAATTAATTAATTAATTAATTCAGCTAATAATGACTAAGTGTAGGATAATGTCTGCACTTTTACAATGGTTTTTAAGTTTCCAATAGAAATAAAATTAATATCTAGAGGTAATTTACGGCCATTTATGATTTCGCATGATCCTTCAATAACAAAAAGATGATTCAATCCATCTTTACGGGTGGGGATGTAAAATGTTTTAACACTATTGCGAAGAAGGCGAAAAGGCACAGAATAAAAGATGCGACTAGTTACGTAGCAGGAAGCAATGAGGCATTGACCAATCTTATATATAAATAATACCGAATGTAATTTAATGAAAGAAGAATAAAGCAGATGCTCAATGATTGGGCAGCCAATGAATAGTCATGATGAAACCTATCCATTCTGATACCAAATCTATCAGTAAGATATAACGTATCAAGCGATGTTGGATAATCTCTAGTCTTGATAAATAGACTCTATAAAGTGGTACGTTACAAAAGTATAAGTAAGTTTAGAACGAACAAAGGCCTAATATAAAATTATCAATGTACCTGGGCGTTGTAAGTTATGATTATTTTTGAAGACAGGATAGGGTTCTAGATGCAGAGAGACATGAATAGCTAATATGAGAAACCAAAGTGAGTTTCAAATGAAAAGTAACACCTAGATCTTTAAATTCTAAAACACGACTAATCCTAAAATTAGTGAAAGAATAATTAAAAAGGAGAGGATTTTTCGATTAGGAAAAAGAAGGATAGCACATTTGATAGCGATATTGAGGGAAAGGCCATTGTTAAAGCACCATTGAAAGAAACAATTAAGATCCCATTGGAGCATCCCTAGAAGAGACAGCGGTTTTAAATAGTTTGGTATCATCAGCATAGAAAGAATTTTTTGAATATTTAATCTTAGTTATTAAATTGTTTATGAAAACTATAAAAAATAATAGACCCGTGTGTGAAGCTTAAGGAACTCCTGAAAATACGCTATATGAATATGAGATAAATTGTTGGAATTTAACAGAATATTTACGATTTAATAAATAAGATATAAATTACCATAAAAGAATAGTTTAGTAGAGAGAAGAGAATGGTTAACACAGTCAAAAGAATTACTTCAATCTATAAAAATTGTATCGACTTGGATTTTAGCATCAAAAGCGTTTATTATAAATTTAAGAAATTATTTACTAAAATTAAATAATAACGTTGTATCTTTGATTAAAAGACAATTTTTTTCCAATTATTACAGAACTATTATGCATATTATATTATATTTAATGACTAGCGCTTGTGACGGTAAACGTCTTGTTTGCGCTACCGTCTCAATCACGCGGCTACCTGCGAGGGCTGCACCTACCGGTTGAGGAAAATAGAAAAAAGGAACTCGGTACGAGACGGGACGGAACGCGAGCGAATATGAAAGAACCAGTCGAGGATTAGCAATCCGAACATACAACTGCCTACAAGGGCAACACGAGTTTTCCAAGAGTGCGGAAGTGATCCAGCTGATAGTTCTTACCGAAACTTATACCTTCGTCGCTACCGTTTGGAGTGTGTGTGTGGGTGTGGAGTTTTGCCATCGTAGACGATATCGAGGGCGCGGATTCCCTCTTTCAAATAACCTGAGATACCGAAAGCGGCAATACGAACCTGCCCCCCCCCCCCCCCCCGATAGTACGACCGTTTATTAAGGTAAGCTGGCCAGCTTAATACCGCGATTTCTAATGTATGACTGCGCTTAATTACTATTCCTTTGTACCGGCGATTCTGTAAAAATCGGTAGCGTGCATGTAAACTAACTTTGCGAACAAAAATCTGCGAACGATCTGGCGATGCATGTTATTGTCGCGCGCGCGCCGCATAAACATAAACACGCGGGCCAACCGTCTTGTAGAGTTATTGGAAAATAAACTAACTCACGCTTGATCGAAACGATAATTTTACGGTCGTCATTGTTATTAGTAGTAAGTTGGTTGACTGACTCATGTCCCCTTCTGCTC